GGGGCCTTGGTGTTATCAGCACCGCACTCTCCCAAGTGAGCCACGGGCCGGCCCTAATCAGGTTTTTTTTGTTGTCGTTAAGTTTTAGAAGTTCTTTATATATTCTGGATATTAATCCCTTATCAGATATGATATTTGCAAATATTTTCTCCCATTTTGTGTGTTGCCACATTAGTTTCTTGAAAAATTAATTGACACTTTGTAACTATACATACTTACGAGGTGCACTCTGATGTTTTGAAACATTTGTGTTGTATATAATACTACTAATTTTTTATGTTGAGGAAATTGTGCGTATTTGGAATTTTAAATATTTAAAATGTTTAAGAGAATTCGGCCTTTTCAAGTAATATAAGTTTTTAATTTATTAAAATTCTAGGAATTACTTAAAGTATGTGAAAGACGTATTGGTCAGTCATATCAACTAAATTTCTTAAAAAAGAAATTGAAATTATACAATGTTTAAAGGAGTGTCATTATGCAAGTTTATAAATGCAGCCACCCATCCACCACCTTTGAAGGTCCCTGGAGAGTGACTGTCAACATTTGCTAGATTTATAAATACATAGCATAAGATTTGTAAGCTGAACTCAAATGCTTACTGAAGAACTAGGTTTTTAAATTTGTAAGTTTAGTAAGTTGAAGAATGATTTTCTTTTTTTCTTTCTTTCCTTCTTTTTTAAGAATAATTTGACAAGTCAAAGTAATCTCTGAATATTCTCTTTTGCACATAAAACCACACTCAAGGTCACTAGGGGGCTCACGGGGACTCTCGAGATGGCAGAGCGCCCCCTGGTGGTTGCAGTTGGAATGCTGCCCTGAGCGCCATGAGAACCTGGGCTAGTGACCAGAGGCAGTGACCCTTCCCACTTCAGGGGGTGGGAGGGAGGATCATATGAAAAGACAGAGGGAAATCCTGACCTGGAGAAGCCTGCTCAGCAAACGCCTTTGTCCTGCAGACTTAAGGAGGCTGGGCTCAATGGGGACCTGGCAAGAGGAAACCTGGCTGGGACCCCAGCGGTGAGTGTCCTGGGCTGGAGCCCCTCCTGGAGCTCAGCCAGGAGCACAAACACAGAGAAAAGAAAAAATCTGAAATGATTCTTTGGTCAGATTTGGACTCCTCAAGAGTGCTGCTGTGCCCTTTAAAGGATTTCGAAGTCTCTTGTCACGAGACTCCAAGCCACTTCATCAGGCCACATTACATACAGGTCATTGTATGTCATTTCCAAAGGTTGCATTTGGATCCCCGGTGCCAAACTGCCTGACTTCCTTGGGTTTGGCCTGGATCCCTCGGTGGCCTCAGCTCTCCACTGTCTGTCCAGCAGATGGTGACAGGGCACTTCTGTATCCAGGCATTCTTCTGGGACTGGGGACACACAGAAAGGACTGAGTGAATAGAAGTTTGCTAGGGGGAGAAGCGTGTTCC